ACGAAAATTTGGTATTCAAAGGGTTAAGCCACAAAATTGCTCTCTCATCAACAACTGTAGTAACGAGCCAGAAGAGTCACTTTGATCTTTCCAGGAAAATAAATGAGAAAACAAAGTTAATTGGGTTTTTTTTGCTACATAAGCTAGGAACTAATCTTGCTATTTGTCTTAAAATTGGCTTCACTAGCATCTTGGCTAGTGCAGTGATGAAGTGCTCTGGACCCCGTTTCTCGAAAGCCCGGGAAACTTCTCGGGTCTGTAAAGCCATTTTCAGTTAATCGGTATTTAAAGACAGAGAGGTGTATATGCCTGAAACTTCTTGTATGAAGCGAACCTCTGTTCATATTAAGAATATGTGAATAAAACAGCTCTGTAGTCATAAGGTTTGAGATTTTGCTACCGCTTTTCGGGTGCGAAAACTTTTCGGGACCTTGCAGAAACGGGTCCCTGGTCATAGCTACGCATTCCATCATCAAAATTTGAATTGCATGGTAATTGAGAAACGTTGTCTGCACATTGTGGTACGCAGTGGGAATCTCCATCTCTTTCAGCTATTTACTTGTAATCAGGCCAAAAAGACGCCTGGTCACAGGTTAAGACGAAAACCGATAGGAAATCGAGCAACTTAATTTTTTAGTGGACAAAAAGCTTGTACCAGAATAATTTCAAGCATATTACGGTCTTTTTTGCATTTGATAAAAGCTTTAGAAATATATATTTGTCTGAAATAACACCAAAAACAATTTCCCAGGGGAATTCGAGGAAATAAATTTCAAAGTTCAGAGAAATTTTGCAAATACAGGTAAAAATATTTCCGTCAGTTTCATTTCACCAGTACTTTCAAGTGTTTAATATGGACTTCAAAATTTGTTTTCGACATTTGGTGTTAGATATGATTTCTTTTGAGAGGATATTTAAAACAGTCGCACAGAAGTTTGCGAAACGATGTAAATAATCTCGGTACAAAGTTTTTCTTCACTTGTTAATCGAACTTCTGATGGATTCTCTCTTAACTTTTCACGTTCTTTTAGGTCGTCATATCTCTTTGATATAGTGACAGAGGGCCCGTGTAGGCTAAAAAGACATGTACCATTTCATTTTAAACAAGCAAGGGAAGTCCAAACAAGAGTGTTTGCAACTTCGCGTTTGGCATTTTTTTCTTCTTTTAACTGTTGCTCATTCAATCACTAGCTTGATTGTTTTCCCTTTATTTGTTGTGCACATTTCTCCACCTAAGCTTTGTGTTAAGACTTTTTCCAGTAATTGCCTAACCCCATCGCCCGTCAGAAATTACATGATCTGTCTTAAAAAGTGACGCCATCTAGTTTCTCCTTACAAATAATGGAACTGATAACTGAGGGAAAACTAACTACTGTGGTGAAATCTCCCAACTAGTGTTAAAAGAAATTAATGGAGACCGATAGGGAGAATATGTATGTTAATATCAGGGTTGGTAGTATAGTACAACGCTCATTATAATCTAATATTTTCGTTCGCGCTCGATTGGTCCAATCGCGTCACGTGACTGAACATGCCCTAGCTAACTGGGGAATATCCGAGAGATATTCCCCAGTTTCCAAAACGCGCGTATTGCGAAAAATATTTGAAAGATAATAAGCATAACAGTCTCCATTTGGCGCGAAAATATGCGTGAATATTTGTCAAAGGACATTACCCGTGTTCGTCAACGCTCAGTTTTCTTCGGGCTATCGGAAAACTGTTCGCTTCTCGTCTTGTCGGATATTTGTCCGGGGACAAATTCTCGCGCCAAATGGAAGCCATTGTTAATATGTTGTAGAATTCGCGAGATTTGGCACGAGCAAAAAGTGCACAAGGTCTCACGGTATGGGGGACAGGAGGCTCTGTGGTCAAGACTGGCGTTAATTTAATAGGATAGACGTGATTGTAAACAGAAACTTCGACTGGAAGACAGGATAATCAAGGGGTGCTTAATCAAAACATCACGATACCTTCAAGACTTAATCTTGCTTTCAGAGCTTCGCTACACTTTGTTGAACCAGTTGGTAGCCAGATTGTCCAGTGCCCAGACTCCGTTTTTCTCCCGAATAGTAAGAATGTCTGGGTACTAGATTCCGATTAAACGTTCTTTTGCAACATCGTATATAATATGAAGCTGACGCAAGAACTGAGCAATCCTCGGATTGGACAATAAAACTCGGAAAATATACCGAAGTGTGTCAGAAGATTTGCAATAAACTTAACTTGTTCCTGACTAGTTCAAGGAGTAACGTTCTTTGTACATGATTGAAGCCTCTTTCTTTTACAGCGATTTACTAATTTTTGTTAAATTCCTTGAATTAATTTGCGTTCACAATGTGTGAACTAAATATTTTTTCCATCTGATCATGTTACTCTCCACGTTTTCACCTCGTTTCTATCCAAGTGTCGTGAAGCAGAGTTCTATGCGCAAAAAGTGAGTTGCATTTATTACTAGGAAGGTTATGTTCGCGTTAGATTATGCATATTCCCCCAAGAGTGATGACATCTTGGCTCGATTTCCGCCCATCTATCGAGTGCGATAATGAAGCTAGCCTCTTTTACGCAGCCTCTCTTTGGGTTCGTCACGCAATCTTCCTCCCCGATGGGAAGAACATTGCGTGGCGTTCCCAAAGAGCGTCTGCGTGGGAGGCTATAGTGAAGCCTATGCCATGGAACATCTGCGCAATTGCCTTCCTTGCGGACACTACAGAAATCACCAGCTGGTTTCTCGTAGCCATTTCAGACAGCTTTCAGCGTCCAAAGAGGTACGAAACTCTGTTTTCCATTGGGTATATATATTCATATTAGCAACTGCAATTGGTCGCATACACAAAAAGACAATCGCTTACGCGCCGTATTTTACGGATCACACATCAACGTGAAAGCAATCTCTCTCGAATGTCTCGTGCACAGGGCGTGGTCCGTTTGTGTCCCATCTGAGCGTGCAAAGATGAGTGTAAATCGCACTAAACCGCGGCCTGCTTGGCGGCAAAATGTCCCAGCATTCCTTCATTAAAACGAAAATTCTAGCAGGACAGTCCGCTGGACAAAGCAGTAAATCATGTTCTCTAATACGCTCCATAACTTCCTCGTCCGTGAACCCTTCATAAGGCCTTAAACCGAAAGAAAATATTTCCCAAAGGATCACTCCGAAGGACCATATATCTGTCTCTACAGTGAACCTGTAATTTAGGATCCCTTCAGGGGCCATCCAACGTAGAGGCATCGGGGGCCTATTAGAGCTACGATAATAGTCATTTGAAAAAGGGTTCCTCGATAACGCCACGTCCGTAATTTTGACCGTCATGCGTGGCCCTACCACGCAGTTACGAGCCGCCAAGTCTCCGTGGATGTAATTATGTTGAGACAAATAGTTCATTCCCGCAGCTAATTGAATGGCGATCTGTAACTGATCGTAGTAACTCAGGGTTTCTGGATCATCATCGTCATCGACGGGGCACTCCAGAGGTGAGTTCTCAACCAGGTAATCATATAAAGTACCATACTCTACGCACTCGTACAATATGCACGTAGGAGGTCCGTTGTAGCACATTCCGATGATACTGATGACGTTAGGATGGCTAAACTTGGACCAAGTCTCCGCTTGACGTAAGAAGCATTCCCGGTTACTCGCGGACGAGCTGTTTCGGAGGACTTTTGCCAAGATGGCTCGTGTTGTTTGCACTCCTTCAACTTTTTCCAAGACTTCAACTTTTTCCAAGACTTCGCCTTTGTACAGTTTGCCAAATTCTCCTTCACCCAAATCATTTAGAAATCTGACAGTCTCTCGGCGCATTTCTTTGATCTGAGAAGCAAAATTGAAAACTTGGAGCAAAAATTGAAGTTTGATTTTTGGGTAGTAAGTTTGAGCTATGGATCGAGGAAGCATTTAATTTTAAGAAAATAAGAAATAAACGCCAACATGACAAAGTGTGGTAAGTCTAGAATTAAACGAAAAAGCGTCCGGTAATGATTTTAAGTGCTTATTGAAATATCAAGTAAGGTAAGGTAAACTTAAGGTAAGTAAACCAGCTGCATCACAGTTTACTCATCCTGAAAATTTAAGACTAAATTTTTCAAGTTCGTCGTTTGTAATCCGTGTTAATCTTCTCCATCCTTAACCATCCTTGTTCCTTTATGATTTATTACCTCTTTGAGTTTGGTGTTTTTCTCTCTTAGTAAACTACTATTTTCTGGTTTCCTTCAATTTAAAGGTAATTTTGTAACTCAAAATAACGTGACTGAGCTATAATGTGACTTTTTCTATTTCACTAGTAAAGTAACGTCCGCAAACTTCAATGTGATCGTTGAAAAGACCAACAAGACAAAAGCTCCGCAGAATTCGACATCACCACCACTCCCCACCCACCACTCCCCCACTTCCTACTCAGTTGACGCACCTTAGGGTATGTTGGTTTACCAACAACAGGCACCAGTGGAATAGCCGCTGATTGGCTGGCTTGGTAAATGATCTGTTTATGGTAACGCCAGCAGACGAAGATGACGACAGAAGAGAACGCAACGCCGAAGAGCAAACACGGTATGACTGTGTACAGAATACTCACTACCTGTACTGGCAGAGATTTGGCGGACGGATCATCTGAAAAATCACATCAATTTGTTACGAAGATGTTCAAGTTTGTGCTTCTCAAACCTACTAATAATTCATTATGTTTAAAGGAGCCACGTCACGGTTTGAGCATCTTGAAAGGCTTAGGCTAAATCTTTCAAGTTTGGCTTTTGTAATCTGTGTTAATCTTCTCCATCCTTAACCATCCTTGTTCATTTAAGGCTTATTATTATCTCTTTGGTGTTTTTCTACCTTAGTAGGTAACTATTTTCAGGTTTCTTTCAATTTGAAGGTAATTTTGTACGTGGCCAAAATAACTCAAAATACCGCGACAGAGCTCCTGTAAGCAAAGAAAATCAAGACAGTGACGGTGTTTGGGTATCTGGTCTTAATAAGCATAAATGTTCACGATTTAGTTTTAACACAAATATATCAAACACCTCGACGTTCGTCAAAAATACTCCGCTGTGCATCGCACAATCTTTCGTGTTTGATATATTACTAAGGAGCCTCAGAAATTTGCGTTCTCTTCGTAGAGGCCCTCGGAAAGTTTCCGACTCTCATTACCCAATCAAAATCCCGCGCGAGCACTCACGAGCACAACGACAAAGAATCTCTGACATTAGTCTCCAGTCTTTTCGTATTTTTTGTACAAACTTACAAATAAGGTAAGTCACGTGGTATAATCAGCTGGAGAGAATTTCAAGAGGGAAAAACAAACTGAAAACGTGGTGAGTGTTACGCTAAAATGATAATATAAGAGAACAAACTCCTTGCTCGTGAACAATTTGGTTTTCGCCCAAACCTTTCAACTAAGGTGGCCCTTGCTCATTTTACTGAGAACATTTTAGATAATATGGACAACGGGTTTGTTACTTGTTCCGTGTTCCTCGACCTCAGCAACGCATTCGATACAGTCGACCACCAACTTTTGCTCAAGAAAATGAAATCTCTAGGTTTGGATAACAATTCCATGGATTGGTTAAAGTCCTATCCCTCTGCTCGTAACAGCCTTTCATCTGCTTTTATCCACTGGACTTCCACTACTTAACTAAAAAACCCGTGTCTTGAGTCAAATAATGATTTATCTGGAGCGAACTGCAGAAACAAGCTAACTTCGGTACGTGTAACGGAACGCTTTGCTATACGACGTGCACAACAAAGAAAACCATTCTTAACCAAACCTGGTGCCCGTTTCTCGAAAGCTACGGAAACTTTTCGGGCCCGATAAACCACTTTTAGTTATTCGGTATTTAAAGACAGAGAGGTGTATACGCCTGAAACTTCTTGTACGGAACGCAACCTCTGTTTCTATTCAGAATATGTGAATAACTCAGCTCTGTAGTCATAAAGTTTGAGATTTTGCTACGGCTTTCCGGCTGCGAAAACTTTTCGGGACCTTCGAGAAACGGGCCCCAGATGCAAATGCGTTGCGTGACGTTACAAACAACATCATTGTCACGCAATACGTTGAGTTCTGCTCCAGCTTCACACTTTCTTTAGTCAAGCAACAACTCACAAGATTTCCGTATACCCCAACGGAGGAAGAAACCACAGTTAACTTACCACAACTTGGAATATCACAAAAATCAAACTTGGTGTCTGCATCGGTAGTAAAACACCAAGGTTTCTTCTTTTTTCCTCCAGGATTTCGACAAAAGTTATGTCCACCAGCAAGCTCTGGATAATCTTCTGTTGATATAATGTGGTGATGAGGATCTGAAGAATTCCACCTCTGACACACAAGGCCTTTCTCTGTCACGCTCACATTAGCACGGAAATTTTCTCCCTTATCAGTGTAACAGCCAGTGAAGGGTGAGGCTGAAATTGTAAAAAAATAGAACGTAAAAATGGTGAGGCTCTAGATCTTGAACCTGTCTACAAAAAGTGAGTAAAATACTACTCAACAGCTTTCATTTAAATGGTCACACATTAGGGTTTCACACACAGACTTAAAAGTTAGAACCACCTTGTACAACATACATGTACTGCTCAACAGCTTTCATTTGAATAGTCAAACAGAAGGATTTCATCCACAGACTTAAAAGTTAGAACCACCTTGTGCAACAAAATAAACCACATTAATTGACTATAGACTTTCAGGGAAAGAAAGCAGAAAAACATCAACACTAACCTTTACTTCGTACTTCAACAGGATTTTGAATCCTCTGCTCAGTGACCCCCAGTTTTATACAATTTTCTCCAGCCTTTGAACTTTTGCGAGGCAAAGTGGAACACTCTGGGAACAAAAGTTTCTGCAGTTTTGCTCTCTTTGCAAAAATATATTCTTTGGCACAAATCTTGGTACGAAGGGTTTCACATTCCTCGTAGCAAATTTGCCGTTTCTTTGGAACACGAGATGTTTTGTCACAGCTTGGAAACTGGAAATGACACAGTAGAGGTTGTACGAAAGGTCGACAGTGTTCACTGATTTTTTTCAAATGCCGGATGTTGTTATATGCAGTGCTTAGTTTTATCTCAAAGTTTTCCAGTCTTTCATAACTTTTTAGGTAGATAGGTTGTCCCTTCAAGTATTTTGAGCAAACAGAGCCATTATAAATGACACAAGAGCCATTTTCTGGAAGAGGTGAAGGTGTGGGAATTTCCCTGTGGAAAAAAAGAGAAATAATTGGGTGAAAAATCAGAGCATTGGAAGACTGTGGGCAATCACCATACTCAAAGTAAAATGAAACATAACCTATTTACAGCCATATATTATGTATTTATTCGATGAAGCACACTGGGTACTTATTAAATTTTTGGACCTTCAGAGTCTGTGGGCACTTATTTGAGGCAAATTAATGTTATTACTAGAGCTAACAATATAATATGGTGCTTTGTTAAATGTTGTTTCTCTTAATGCGAGAGCAGGTAAAATATAACAAATCCNAGTGAAACCTCCATTTTCATATTCCTCCAGCGGTGTGGACGAAGCCTTAGACCGCACAAGAAAATCCCGCATAAAACCCGCATCAGTTCGGTAGAGTACATAACTTCTTTCGGATTGGGGTAAATTTGGCTCACTGGAGCTGTGACAATGAAATGAGGGCTATTACACTCCCGGGTCATAGAATTGCAAGTGTCCTTACTGAGGGAGACTGCTGGACAGCAAACTTGCAGATGATGCCAACAATAACCTTTTATTTAGTTTTAAATTGCTATTCTTTGTACAAGAATTAAAGAAGTTACCTTAAATTTAGAAGGACTACAACAAAACTTGATAACTACTCTCTCTTTCCCAACTTTAATAAATCGCAAATGGTCGAATTTTGTAAGCTTTTTTAACTCTATTTTACCGTAAAGATTCGATTTAGCGCCCGGGTGCTTAATAAATTCTGGTGACGCTCATTCGGATTGGTGTTTTAACTGTTTTATTGACTTAAACTATCAATCATAATGGAACTAACTCCTCACACTGAGCGAGAACATTGAGAAAAGAAAACGTAAAAAAAGCACTGTCGTCCCCAGAGCTACCCGTCCATCTAAGCCGGCGAGCCCCTGGCACGAGCAAAAAGTGCACAAGGTCTCACGGTATGGGGGACAGGAGGCTCTGTGGTCAAGACTGGCGTTAATTTAATAGGATAGATGTGATTGTAAACAGACACTTCGACTGGAAGACAGGATAATCAAGGGGTGCTTAATCAAAACATCACGATACCTTCAAGACTTAATCTTGCTTTCAGAGCTTCGCTTCACTTTGTTGAACCAGTTGGTAGCCAGATTGTCCAGTGCCCAGACTCCGTTTTTCTCCCGAATAGTAAGAATGTCTGGGTACTAGATTCCGATTAAACGTTCTTTTGCAACATCGTATATAATATGAAGCTGACGCAAGAACTGAGCAATCCTCGGATTGGACAATAAAACTCGGAAAATATACCGAAGTGTGTCAGAAGATTTGCAATAAACTTAACTTGTTCCTGACTAGTTCAAGGAGTAACGTTCTTTGTACATGATTGAAGCCTCTTTCTTTTACAGCGATTTACTAATTTTTGTTAAATTCCTTGAATTAATTTGCGTTCACAATGTGTGAACTAAATATTTTTTCCATCTGATCATGTTACTCTCCACGTTTTCACCTCGTTTCTATCCAAGTGTCGTGAAGCAGAGTTCTATGCGCAAAAAGTGAGTTGCATTTATTACTAGGAAGGTTATGTTCGCGTTAGATTATGCATATTCCCCCAAGAGTGATGACATCTTGGCTCGATTTCCGCCCATCTATCGAGTGCGATAATGAAGCTAGCCTCTTTTACGCAGCCTCTCTTTGGGTTCGTCACGCAATCTTCCTCCCCGATGGGAAGAACATTGCGTGGCGTTCCCAAAGAGCGTCTGCGTGGGAGGCTATAGTGAAGCCTATGCCATGGAACATCTGCGCAATTGCCTTCCTTGCGGACACTACAGAAATCACCAGCTGGTTTCTCGTAGCCATTTCAGACAGCTTTCAGCGTCCAAAGAGGTACGAAACTCTGTTTTCCATTGGGTATATATATTCATATTAGCAACTGCAATTGGTCGCATACACAAAAAGACAATCGCTTACGCGCCGTATTTTACGGATCACACATCAACGTGAAAGCAATCTCTCTCGAATGTCTCGTGCACAGGGCGTGGTCCGTTTGTGTCCCATCTGAGCGTGCAAAGATGAGTGTAAATCGCACTAAACCGCGGCCTGCTTGGCGGCAAAATGTCCCAGCATTCCTTCATTAAAACGAAAATTCTAGCAGGACAGTCCGCTGGACAAAGCAGTAAATCATGTTCTCTAATACGCTCCATAACTTCCTCGTCCGTGAACCCTTCATAAGGCCTTAAACCGAAAGAAAATATTTCCCAAAGGATCACTCCGAAGGACCATATATCTGTCTCTACAGTGAACCTGTAATTTAGGATCCCTTCAGGGGCCATCCAACGTAGAGGCATCGGGGGCCTATTAGAGCTACGATAATAGTCATTTGAAAAAGGGTTCCTCGATAACGCCACGTCCGTAATTTTGACCGTCATGCGTGGCCCTACCACGCAGTTACGAGCCGCCAAGTCTCCGTGGATGTAATTATGTTGAGACAAATAGTTCATTCCCGCAGCTAATTGAATGGCGATCTGTAACTGATCGTAGTAACTCAGGGTTTCTGGATCATCATCGTCATCGACGGGGCACTCCAGAGGTGAGTTCTCAACCAGGTAATCATATAAAGTACCATACTCTACGCACTCGTACAATATGCACGTAGGAGGTCCGTTGTAGCACATTCCGATGATACTGATGACGTTAGGATGGCTAAACTTGGACCAAGTCTCCGCTTGACGTAAGAAGCATTCCCGGTTACTCGCGGACGAGCTGTTTCGGAGGACTTTTGCCAAGATGGCTCGTGTTGTTTGCACTCCTTCAACTTTTTCCAAGACTTCAACTTTTTCCAAGACTTCGCCTTTGTACAGTTTGCCAAATTCTCCTTCACCCAAATCATTTAGAAATCTGACAGTCTCTCGGCGCATTTCTTTGATCTGAGAAGCAAAATTGAAAACTTGGAGCAAAAATTGAAGTTTGATTTTTGGGTAGTAAGTTTGAGCTATGGATCGAGGAAGCATTTAATTTTAAGAAAATAAGAAATAAACGCCAACATGACAAAGTGTGGTAAGTCTAGAATTAAACGAAAAAGCGTCCGGTAATGATTTTAAGTGCTTATTGAAATATCAAGTAAGGTAAGGTAAACTTAAGGTAAGTAAACCAGCTGCATCACAGTTTACTCATCCTGAAAATTTAAGACTAAATTTTTCAAGTTCGTCGTTTGTAATCCGTGTTAATCTTCTCCATCCTTAACCATCCTTGTTCCTTTATGATTTATTACCTCTTTGAGTTTGGTGTTTTTCTCTCTTAGTAAACTACTATTTTCTGGTTTCCTTCAATTTAAAGGTAATTTTGTAACTCAAAATAACGTGACTGAGCTATAATGTGACTTTTTCTATTTCACTAGTAAAGTAACGTCCGCAAACTTCAATGTGATCGTTGAAAAGACCAACAAGACAAAAGCTCCGCAGAATTCGACATCACCACCACTCCCCACCCACCACTCCCCCACTTCCTACTCAGTTGACGCACCTTAGGGTATGTTGGTTTACCAACAACAGGCACCAGTGGAATAGCCGCTGATTGGCTGGCTTGGTAAATGATCTGTTTATGGTAACGCCAGCAGACGAAGATGACGACAGAAGAGAACGCAACGCCGAAGAGCAAACACGGTATGACTGTGTACAGAATACTCACTACCTGTACTGGCAGAGATTTGGCGGACGGATCATCTGAAAAATCACATCAATTTGTTACGAAGATGTTCAAGTTTGTGCTTCTCAAACCTACTAATAATTCATTATGTTTAAAGGAGCCACGTCACGGTTTGAGCATCTTGAAAGGCTTAGGCTAAATCTTTCAAGTTTGGCTTTTGTAATCTGTGTTAATCTTCTCCATCCTTAACCATCCTTGTTCATTTAAGGCTTATTATTATCTCTTTGGTGTTTTTCTACCTTAGTAGGTAACTATTTTCAGGTTTCTTTCAATTTGAAGGTAATTTTGTACGTGGCCAAAATAACTCAAAATACCGCGACAGAGCTCCTGTAAGCAAAGAAAATCAAGACAGTGACGGTGTTTGGGTATCTGGTCTTAATAAGCATAAATGTTCACGATTTAGTTTTAACACAAATATATCAAACACCTCGACGTTCGTCAAAAATACTCCGCTGTGCATCGCACAATCTTTCGTGTTTGATATATTACTAAGGAGCCTCAGAAATTTGCGTTCTCTTCGTAGAGGCCCTCGGAAAGTTTCCGACTCTCATTACCCAATCAAAATCCCGCGCGAGCACTCACGAGCACAACGACAAAGAATCTCTGACATTAGTCTCCAGTCTTTTCGTATTTTTTGTACAAACTTACAAATAAGGTAAGTCACGTGGTATAATCAGCTGGAGAGAATTTCAAGAGGGAAAAACAAACTGAAAACGTGGTGAGTGTTACGCTAAAATGATAATATAAGAGAACAAACTCCTTGCTCGTGAACAATTTGGTTTTCGCCCAAACCTTTCAACTAAGGTGGCCCTTGCTCATTTTACTGAGAACATTTTAGATAATATGGACAACGGGTTTGTTACTTGTTCCGTGTTCCTCGACCTCAGCAACGCATTCGATACAGTCGACCACCAACTTTTGCTCAAGAAAATGAAATCTCTAGGTTTGGATAACAATTCCATGGATTGGTTAAAGTCCTATCCCTCTGCTCGTAACAGCCTTTCATCTGCTTTTATCCACTGGACTTCCACTACTTAACTAAAAAACCCGTGTCTTGAGTCAAATAATGATTTATCTGGAGCGAACTGCAGAAACAAGCTAACTTCGGTACGTGTAACGGAACGCTTTGCTATACGACGTGCACAACAAAGAAAACCATTCTTAACCAAACCTGGTGCCCGTTTCTCGAAAGCTACGGAAACTTTTCGGGCCCGATAAACCACTTTTAGTTATTCGGTATTTAAAGACAGAGAGGTGTATACGCCTGAAACTTCTTGTACGGAACGCAACCTCTGTTTCTATTCAGAATATGTGAATAACTCAGCTCTGTAGTCATAAAGTTTGAGATTTTGCTACGGCTTTCCGGCTGCGAAAACTTTTCGGGACCTTCGAGAAACGGGTCCCAGATGCAAATGCGTTGCGTGACGTTACAAACAACATCATTGTCACGCAATACGTTGAGTTCTGCTCCAGCTTCACACTTTCTTTAGTCAAGCAACAACTCACAAGATTTCCGTATACCCCAACGGAGGAAGAAACCACAGTTAACTTACCACAACTTGGAATATCACAAAAATCAAACTTGGTGTCTGCATCGGTAGTAAAACACCAAGGTTTCTTCTTTTTTCCTCCAGGATTTCGACAAAAGTTATGTCCACCAGCAAGCTCTGGATAATCTTCTGTTGATATAATGTGGTGATGAGGATCTGAAGAATTCCACCTCTGACACACAAGGCCTTTCTCTGTCACGCTCACATTAGCACGGAAATTTTCTCCCTTATCAGTGTAACAGCCAGTGAAGGGTGAGGCTGAAATTGTAAAAAAATAGAACGTAAAAATGGTGAGGCTCTAGATCTTGAACCTGTCTACAAAAAGTGAGTAAAATACTACTCAACAGCTTTCATTTAAATGGTCACACATTAGGGTTTCACACACAGACTTAAAAGTTAGAACCACCTTGTACAACATACATGTACTGCTCAACAGCTTTCATTTGAATAGTCAAACAGAAGGATTTCATCCACAGACTTAAAAGTTAGAACCACCTTGTGCAACAAAATAAACCACATTAATTGACTATAGACTTTCAGGGAAAGAAAGCAGAAAAACATCAACACTAACCTTTACTTCGTACTTCAACAGGATTTTGAATCCTCTGCTCAGTGACCCCCAGTTTTATACAATTTTCTCCAGCCTTTGAACTTTTGCGAGGCAAAGTGGAACACTCTGGGAACAAAAGTTTCTGCAGTTTTGCTCTCTTTGCAAAAATATATTCTTTGGCACAAATCTTGGTACGAAGGGTTTCACATTCCTCGTAGCAAATTTGCCGTTTCTTTGGAACACGAGATGTTTTGTCACAGCTTGGAAACTGGAAATGACACAGTAGAGGTTGTACGAAAGGTCGACAGTGTTCACTGATTTTTTTCAAATGCCGGATGTTGTTATATGCAGTGCTTAGTTTTATCTCAAAGTTTTCCAGTCTTTCATAACTTTTTAGGTAGATAGGTTGTCCCTTCAAGTATTTTGAGCAAACAGAGCCATTATAAATGACACAAGAGCCATTTTCTGGAAGAGGTGAAGGTGTGGGAATTTCCCTGTGGAAAAAAAGAGAAATAATTGGGTGAAAAATCAGAGCATTGGAAGACTGTGGGCAATCACCATACTCAAAGTAAAATGAAACATAACCTATTTACAGCCATATATTATGTATTTATTCGATGAAGCACACTGGGTACTTATTAAATTTTTGGACCTTCAGAGTCTGTGGGCACTTATTTGAGGCAAATTAATGTTATTACTAGAGCTAACAATATAATATGGTGCTTTGTTAAATGTTGTTTCTCTTAATGCGAGAGCAGGTAAAATATAACAAATCCTCCTATCTGATTGGTTCCGAGAGCAGGCAGAATTTTCCCAAATCCATCAACCTGCTTGTGTTGTTGATAAATTATTCTCAAACTTATTAATAATTCATCAAGTTAAAACAAAGAAAATCACAACCATAAAGGAGGTTTAGATATCCCGTCTTAATTAGAATAAATTTTGACGATATTACTTCTCCGTTTACTCCTTAGTTTTTGTTTTGATTGAGAAGATATATCAAACACTCAACACAGTGTTTCAAGGGCTATCCAAACACCTCGAATTTCATCAAAAATACTTTGCTGCATGTCGTATTTTCAACTCTCTTCTCAGTGTTTGGACATTCCAGTGAAACACTGTCTCTCGTGTTTGATATATTACGTGATAATTGTCTATCCTTTGCCTTTTGTACAGTATTTTTGAGATCTACTTACAAATCATTAGCTGTTGGTTTGTCCTTTCCCTGATCAAATCCACTGTGCTGAGGATTTGATTGTTTGGAGTATTTAGGAAAAAGGCCTGCAAAGAAATGATCAATGAACAGAAAAATGAAATACACAACTGGACAAGGTCTCAGAGGAGAAGATGTACTGGCATGACTAATGCTTTAACCCTTTCAGCCCTAAATTGCTGGGGCTTTTTTTCCAATTTAATAAATTACATAGACCCCCTACCCTCATGTATGAGATACCGTACAGATACCATACAGCTCTCAATGAATAGGTTAATAACAACTGCACTAGAAGCTGCATAATTATTGTAGAAAAAAGTTCCTAAAGGGATGGTGAATTATATCATGTAAGAGGGGGGAGGGGGNTTGTAAAAAAAGTTCCTAAAGGGATGGTGAACTATACCATATAAGAGGGGGGGAGGGGGGGAGGCAAGACTGTGGTCTAAGAAAAAATACAAGGAGCTCAAAGGTTCCTAACCATGAAATCCTGGGGGCCCAGCACTTAGGCTGCATAATTATTGTAAAAAAAGTTCCTAAAGGGATGGTGAACTATACCATATAAGAGGGGGGGAGGGGGGGAGGCAAGACTGTGGTCTAAGAAAAAATACAAGGAGCTCAAAGGTTCCTAACCATGAAATACTGGGGGCCCAGCACTTGAGCTTATATAAACGTTTTTCCAGTCACCCAAAGGTTTAATGAGTAGCTCTTCACAAGATTGAGAATGTCGCCAAACTCGGCCAGAATTGATCCAAACACACGAGTGCTCTCCCAAGGCAAAAGGGTTAAAACAAGTCTGGAATTGGCTGAAATGATTTCTCACTAACTCACAAACCTATTACACATTTGTAACAGGAGTTACTCTGTGCCGGCAACATTTAACACTGCACTGCCAAGAAAGCCACAGCTGAAAATTGGCAAAACAAATTATTTAACAAAATCAGAGCCATGTGAAAGTACTGCAAAAAAACTTTTGTCTGCATGGTAATCTCAGCTGTTTTCAACTGAGCATTTTACTGTTTACTAGTGATGTTAATGTATCTATGCCACTGCATACCTTGTGTAGTAAAAGTAGTGGTCGTTCTACTGGAAGGTACTGGAACAGAGGGAGGTGACTTGTTTTCTAGAGACAAAATTTAAAACTCTCTCAATAACCAATCACGTACAGCAAACATACTACTTACATTAAGACAGATTCCACACAAAAGTTCAAGCAATAAGTACAAAAATTATTTCCTAAAAATCTACTCATAGCACGGTAACTTTTGGAATGCTATTTGAAACTACTCATTTTACACCGTAGCTCATTTCTCTAAGTGACCCAGCGATTAAATTCTCAAGTATTCTCGGGAAAGTACATGTATTATGTCAAACTTCCCAAGAATGCTTAAAGTGTGTGTCATTGTGTTTCAAACTAACGCGAAACGTCTGTTTTAATTAAAATATGGATAACTTAAAGTTCAATTTTCCCTCTTGGGTCAGCTTGAGAGCTTAAGTCTCGATAAGTTCTTCTTAACTGTATTCAAAATATTACCATGCCATGATGTTTTTTTGGTAACGTAATTTTTGCCATTATTGCTCAAATGTCCTGTGGAAATCATCTTAAATAGCCACTATTGATCCTAGTTGATGTCGCTTTTTTTTTTCAGGTGGTTGCACGCACCCTTGGTTTTAGCTGCGGATTCAAAAAAGTGAACACATGATGACAAACATCTCCTGCCCACAGTTTGAAGCACAGCTGTTGCAAATTCCTCAAAAGAACCAAGTTCAAGGCAAATTTTGTCCATGCAATGGGTTTTGCATCACTCAAACTCTTCTCTGCAGCATATCTTGAATTGCATATTACTAGAAAGATCGAAACTCAACAAACTTGAAAACAAACTGTGAAGCACCTTCCCCGACGGCAAGAGATTCACTCATCACACAATCATGAAATTTGTCCTCACGTAATCACTGTTTTTGAATCCATGAATGAAACCTACAGTGCATGCAACCACTTGAAAAAAAGAGCCATTTGAACCGATGTCTGGGATCAATAGCACTACACGTCATTAACTAACAACTAACCACGACATACAAACATACATGAAGATTATTTCAGGGTAATTTAACGTATATGGAGGAGAACAAAGAAGTAAAAAAAAAATATTTCAGTTGCTACATGCACTAGATGAAGACAGCAGCCAAAGAAAAGGGTATTCAGATCTTAATCTTAGTCAAATAAACTGCAGTCCAAAATAAGTACAATTAAAATAAGGTGTTTCCCTAGTTCAATGAGCTAGTTTTATCTGCTCACTATGAAGGGGAAATCACTAGCTAACAACTTTAAGGAAGCAATTGTTGTATCTTTTCCAATCAATATTTTCATGTTACAATTTGACACTGAGGAAGAATAAAGGACAGCCAGCTGGCTATCAGCCTGGCCAAAGAGATTTGTTACAGAAGGTGCCAAATTGTCTACTCTTTGTTTATTTTGGAGTTTAATTTAACTACAGCACAATTAAGTATTTGAGAGGCACTTGTGAATCAATTTGTGATAATCCTCCTGGCATTACTGAGGAACAAAGATGAATATAGGTGGTAGAACAATGCATCTGGGGTACAACTATTTCAACCAAGGTTACCCAACAAAATTTAGTTTGAACAACAGAAAATCTGATATGTTATCAATAATTTTAAGACAGTTTATCAATGTCATCAAGCTGACACTACATAAAAAAAATTGATAATATTCTTGGGTGGCCTTGGTTAGAGTAGTCGCATTGTAATTCTTTCAGACTCGAAGATTAATATCTAATTGAAACAAAATAACAAAAGAAAACAAACTCTCCCACCTAGCACAATCCAAAATATATTTAATACTTAAGGACAAGGAAAGATCTGTCCGTTGATATAAAAACTAAATAAAATTATAAACTTACCAAGTGTTGACTTGCTTTGAGGGGTCGTGGGTTTTATACCTTCTATAAAGTAACATGAAATACATGTATTAGGAAGATGTCTACATTTTGAGAATTGAGATATAAATCACCTCTGGGAGTCAAAATCACAGTTTTGTGTGCCATGAATAAAACAATATTATTATTAATATTAAAATCCTGTCTGTCACAAGGAAAAATGTTTTTTACAGCTCATCTCCAAAAGAATGTTTGCCTAAACTTTCACAATTTGTACACCCCTAAATTCTAAAACTTTTCTTGCACGGAGAGAGGTAGGGGAGGGGCGGGTGAATGTTTTAAGTTTTTAAGTCACAAAAAAACCCTTACTACTAACAGTAGTTTCTACTCAACATTATAGGTACAAAAAATAATGTTGCATGGTCCCTGCAGCTTGTCATCCACTAATAACAATGAGGGTGTCTTGTGGTACAAAAATCATTACCACCTTTTATTTGCACCATAAATAATAATAATAATAAATAATAACAATAGCAAAGGTGACAATGAGACCTCCAAAACAGTAAAACATTGCAGACAACACATAATATGATGTCAGAACTTAACAATGACTAAGACGCCAGGTTTCAGACAGATTTCTTTTCTTTATATATTTAATAATTTAGCAATTCACTAAGTTCAAAGATACACAGTACCTGATTTTATTAATTAACATCATTTTTAAAAATATCATATTACTGCTGTGGCATGTTGCAAGACTTTCAAACAAGACTGCACAGTCTTAAAAACAATGCAAAAAAGCCTGTATAAAAAATTTTGGCCTGATTACCTTGAGAACTTATGATCTTCTCTAGAATCTGAATAAGTCTACCAAGATCTAAACAAGGTTGGTGAGGTCTAGACAAGTTTGCCAAGATAGCAGTGAGCATCTTTCCATTATATCACTGAGGCATGAAAATCTAGCCAAAACCTTTATGAGATCTCGACATCACCTCAATGAAAGTTTTCTCCGAGTAATTTTGATGCAAAGGAGGAGATGGCTAAGCATACATGTACTTAATGTAAACATACCATTCACAACAAGAAAAGCTTGTATTCTTGCTGTTCCCACTGAATTATTTGCTACGCATGTGTAAGATCCAGCATCGCTCAGCTTCAACTGGCGGTTCCTTAGCTTTGAACCCCAATCCCTAATAATATATCATACAGAACAACACACAAAATTAAAACAAGTAGAGTAAGAAAGGTTATATATGATAAAATACCCTATGATCAAAAAAGTTTGGGTACGGTTCATCTTATAAGCCAAAACTTTCCGATCCCAGCCCTACTAGGCAGTCAATTACTGCATATTAAATACTACCAACAACACTAAGGACACAACACAAGGACTTTCACTGAAAATGCCACCAACCCTCACACTTATTTACTGGGTGAGGGAAAAATTACATTTTGATAACTGCTATTATTTCACAAAGCCCCTAAAAACATGGATCAGTGACTGAAGAGCAAGGAAAGACCCAACACTACTAGCCTAGATGTAGCTGTTGGACCTGACTTTGGTTACATCCAACAGTGGTACAGTACACACCTGTCAATGATACTGAACAATCCACTCTTGTTTTTTATTATTTTCCCATTCTTGTACCATGTGATACCTGGTTTGGGAGAACCACTCACGTAACACTTGAACTGCACTCTGCCTCCTACCTCTGCTGTTTGATTTAGAAGAGGTTTGTTAAAAGCTGGAGCTGTAAAAAAAAGAAGCAAAAGTTTCTCATACTTGCAATTCGACGCACCAGTTTTGGTTTTTCTTGGAGGTTTGTGAAATCCAGATTCCATTGTAAGATCTACTTTGCACACCAGTAAAGCCCTCTACTACTCAGCTGCTTACATAAAACCTTCCAGTGTTCATACCTTTACAATCTGGACATACTTTTGAGTGATTTGACAACTGTGAGCTGCAAAGGAACGCATGGTTATTAGAAAAAGATTCAAGCAAAAGCAATTTTCATATCAAATGGAGCAAAAGCAAAATACTATGTAGATCTTATGAGGCATTTTAGTGGGAAGCATTGCAGTAAATTTTAGAATTCTTGCCATGTTTTGGCAAGCCTATTAGGGCTGCAAGCCAAAATGCTAATGATAACTACAAGTGCCAATCAACAGCAATACTAGAGAGTAACCTAGAGTAGTAACCTGTCAAATAAGAGATTTATTTTCCTTCAATTTATTTCTCTAATTCCTGGCTTTCCACTGATTTTTATGTTTTATTCATTTCTTTTATTCATTATTTTTTTTGTGCACCTTTCAACAGTTAGAAGGGACAAGAGGTCTACACATAACCTGATAAATTGATCACCCTAAGCCATTTGTTATTTGTCCTCTACTGAGCCCAGTAAAATAAAAAAGTCTAATATCTGGAACAAATTTGATGCAGTTCAGCAAGCCACTTGTAATTTTGTTCTCCTACCAGATATCTTTATATTGTGTAACCCTTGCTAGCTTCCTGTTCCATAATATTAGAGAGAAATGATTTAGCAAAAACACTTCCACATACACCGAACAGTTAATTTATTCAATTGCCTGGCTTAAACATAGCATCAAAACCCTTTTAATTTCGTCTTGATACCCAGGCATTTGTCCAAGTGTGAAATGTTCATATCAAGATCATTTTGAATATTGCGTCTGCATTCCGTGAATAATCGTAACACAACCAAGTCCAAACAACCTAAAATAAAGCTTGGATGTTCTAAATCGCGCACCCTGCTGTTCACGTGAAATGCACATTTATCATAATGTCACGGAATTTTCATTTTAAGCTCTGCTGCGTCTCAATAAAAGGCAAAACTACTTGCGTGTCCATTATAACAATCTAGACATTAAATTGTGCTGAACTTTATGCCAAGTCCTAAACATCGATATTTGTTTAACCTTTCAAGTGCAATTCATATTTTTGCTTGATATTGGCCCCAAAATGAGGAAATTCCGACGCGAAAACTTCGTTTCAAGAGCAAGGTTCTCGATTTAAACTTCTCGAACACGCACTAAACATGTAAACAACTCAATGAAGCGAGCCACTATCACATGCAAATTTGCTGTCCCGATCGACTTATACGTTAATTTTTTTCTTTGTTCTTCACATTTACACTTCAAAGAAGAACAATGAAGTCTTCCGTGCGGCACATTCTAAAACAAACTGTTCAATGCTTCATGGCGTTGAACGAAACAATACATTCACCTCACTAATGCTCTAAATTTTAAACACACACAACTTTTCCAAAATTGATTCACATGTAATGCTCATTTCCCATCGCTCTTCTGACCTTCTAATTTACTGAGGTCAAAACAAAATGGGAAATGTATATAAGAAGGATTATCCAATGCCGATTATAAGAGAATGAAAGGAACACAGAATCCATCAACGAAAACAATGCGAAATGAACAAACTTCGAATGAACACAAGCGAGATGCCGCGCTGCATTGTCGAGGCCTTTTGCTGTTTTACAACTCTCAGCAGCTATCCATTAGTGCAGTTATCTAAAATTTCAAACACACCGTCTGAACTTTTTCAATCAGTGCAGAGACCCACCTGGCCTCAAGCGAATTCTAAGCCGCTATTAACTTTCAAAGCCTTGCCGCTGTTTCTCTGCATGAGTGAAAGAAATCGAAGAAATGCGATAGGAAATCTCGACCAAGGTATGGATATAATAAAAATTTCATTCAGTGAAGTTGTTTTCATTCAGCTATACGTTCCCTTTGATTGCCGTGCGTGTGAACTCCTATTCTAGAGAGTGTGTTCTTAACACTTTATTGCTCGCGATACTTGTTTCACACAAAGCGAAATTTGCATGGTGCATTCACAAGAGGCACATACCACGTCAAGTCTAATTATTTCTTACATTAAACAAGCAAACAGAGAAGTAATATAAAAACAAAACAACGGTTTGCACTCCGCACTGCCTACCTTGGAGAATCGAGCGACCGTTTGTGTTGGAATCCCCAGAGAAGGCTTCCTGAAAAGCGTAAAAATGGAAGACGATACCATTAGCATCTATGCTGATCGCCACAACAGATGTACGGCTAAAAGCACTGATCATGATTCTTTAGGTGATAAACAAAGCGCTAAGAACACTTGTAACACTACTATGTTCTAAGTCCTTTCTTTTAAACACGCAGTGAACGCGAAAAAGCGATTTTCCGAAGCAGCACTGCTGTACTCTCCGAATAGGTGGTGAAATATTCATATTCCTGTAATTGCATTGTAAATTGACGAACGAACAAAATCAAACAAACACATTTCTACCACGTACAACATCGCCCGGCCAATTTCGACTTACCAGACAAAATCCACAGATAAAATCCCCAAAATAGACAGTAGAACCTTTGAAATCCCATCTCGGAGTCCCTTCAAGGCATAGCCATTAACCGTACAGGTCTCAAAGCCTACAGCCCGCCTTGATATCTAGCGAACATTGCAGGAACAAAGGGGCGCATGTGATCTCTCGCGAAGCGCCAATGGATTATTATGGGATTAGCGGTAGCTACTGAAAACATGATTCCACTGACAGGACGGAAAGGTCAAATTCACTGTGTCACTTTATCATCATTGGCTACTTCGGCAAACAACGAAACAAAGCCGAAATTTCCGTTCATTTACATTGAAATATTTTGTCTATTTAGTCCATTAGCACTACCAACCCATTTTGTTTTGCATAACTTCCCTCGCTTTATCTGCTGAGTCAACAGCGAAAAGGAAAGGCGCTCACCTTAGCCTTGAGCCAACTGACAGGTTGGCATGGTAACCAGCTGAATCTGTCAGCATTGTCAAAGTTTACGACAAACACTCGTAAATTGTCGGAAAATTCAGCGACAAGTATCAAATGTTCCAGCCTTTTGTCTGAGGAAGTTTGCTTTTCTACGTGCCAGAATGCGATGAATATGGTCTGTTTTTACTTAGCTGACGAAAAGGTTGTTATGGGATCGAGTTTGCCAAAGGCGAAATCAGTTTGCTTTTTGGGAAAGTTGGAGTTTTTTGAGTGACAGTTGTCGTAGACAGTGTTATTGAAAACCGAGACGAACAAACTTTAAAAAACAAACTTTGAAGAATATTTTTTAATTAGCGTTTTGAAATATTCCTTTTCGGCGAGTGAAAGTGGAGTTGTTACGCCCCTTGCCCGGAGTAACTGAAAAGGATTCTTTGCTAATCAGTTGGTGTTTATCTCTTCAGTGTCTCCAAGTTGACGCAAAGTGAAGTTTGCTTTGTCTGGGCCGCATTTTAGCGTAACATTTTTGCAAACAAAAAGCGTACTCTAAAAGGGTTCTTATTTTGCATCACAAGTGACCAGATAAAAAGCATGCCCTGCGGCTCTGAGCCGCTTTTAAGTTTCCGAAATTTCGTCTGGCGCGTATCAATTCCTTGTAAGCGTGTCCCTTGTTGCATGATTTCTAATTATATTAGGCGTCTTCAAGTCTACCATGAGGATTTTTCAAATCTCCAGAAAATATCTTGAAATTTTTAAAAACAACTGTCATTGAGGGAGGGAACTTGGTTACTTCCTACGGTTGATACTACATCCGGTTGAAGTCTAAAAAAGAAAACATTTTTGACTTACAAGCTTTGAATTTCAATTTTATCAGATCCTTGTGGAGAAATCAATACGTTATGACTCGACCTACCAAAGAAATTTGTTAGAATATCAATCGTTACGCAGGTTATGTTCTCTGCTAATTTTGATTCAATTCATTTATTCATTGCTAGTACAGTAAAGTCTGGCTTTTCATCATAGCCCTTCAGAAACTACATCATTAAATTCGAGAGTGTGTTTTAACTCCTTAATTTCGAAGTGTACTATCTTCACATGTAAATACTTTGCTTATACTGTTTGTTTTTTCGTTTCCGTCGTGTATGTTTTTTTTCTTTTCCAAATTTAATTTTTTTTCTGCGATATATCAATAACATTCACACGGGGTCAAAATTGTCAGTTTATCTGTTTCCAATTTCTGACAGGAGGCTACATATAAAATAAACATCATTTGTCTTGACATATTATTTTCCCCTGGGCACGATTTTCTTGATGTTTTTGACTGATTCATTTCCATGTTCCTTCATTCATTAGTGATTTTTCCAATTTATCAAATACTTATCTACCTTGCACCTGTTCTATAAGGCATTTATCCACTAATGGCAATCTAGCCCTTTCTAATATTTGAGTGTGATATATTGAGATAACTTGTGTTTTATCGTTGCAACAGGATACATAACCGTATTTCCATAAAACCATTAAGAAACCTTTTTAATGCTACTCATTTATGAGAAAATGAAGTGTCCGCCCGGTTAAGCACCGACCTTGTCGATATTAGTCATTTCAGATCGAACGTCCTTTTGTATTTCGTCTTTCTTTTATGATCAATTAATCACTGCTTCCAAATTATTCCCAAAACTATTGCGGTTTATGCGTGACTAAGAGTTTTCACCCATCCTTGATATGAATCTGTTTTAAAACGTTGGAAGTGGTTTATAATTGTCTCCGTTTTCGGTAGTGTTTTAATTGGAATATTGCTGTCACATTTTAAAATTCCGCATAGGTTTACGACTATTTTCACACAGATTTCCAAGGTTTTTTGCATTTTTGATGAGGAAAAAAAAAACACTCCATTATTTTCCGCAAACAAGAGGAAACAGCGAGTCGGATTTGGCAAAGACATTCCCAGACTCATGTAGTTCATCTAAACTCCTACAAATGTTAGTTAAGAAATTTAAAATTGTCCCTAATACAAAATTCTCGATAGTGATTGGTTCCGCCCGCGCTTATATTATTTCTCACACGTACGTATTCGACGCACGATCACGTAGGGGTCCAATTATAGATATCGAACTACTCGTCAATTACGTACGCGCGATTTAATTGCTTCGTTCTTAAAGTTTTCTGCAATTTAATTAACAGAAACCTTCAGATACCTTGAGAATTTGTTCTGAGTTTTCCAGTAAGTTGAAACCGAGTTGTAAAATGTCAATCGGGAATTTCCAGAAACTCCAGGTAATATTTTGATATGTAATATTTAACACCTTGATTTAATATCACCCTCTCGAAGAAACAAAACTGAAGAAAAAACAGTGGATTAAAGAACTGAGGAGTGTCGTCATTCAACGCCTTTTTATGACTAGGATCCTATGACCTTGGATTTTTCCCCAGGTTCCAATTTGCCTTTTAAATTACCCGACCTAGCTACCAGGCTTTTTCCCTCTGAAATTGGGAAAAGCAGTGGAAACGAGGTTGCAAGTTACCCGGTTCGCTGTACCAAAAACAAAGCGGGCTGAAACATTGAAATGAAACACCCCACGTGGTACCCACGTAGTACCAAAACATTTTCAACATACACGAGGTACCACTGGTATCCCTGTCAGGGGCATAAAGAGTCTCCTGGGTGGAGAGGAGTGCGGCGACGTTTGTTCCAGGTTTCTTGCGTAAAGCGTGCTGGGAAATCCATAGCTACCAAAGAAACTGTTTTAAAAGATAAGATCATCCATTTTATCTAATGTTGGTTTATTGATAACATGTATGAAACCAGATATACATCTTGACATGCAGTTATACATTTGTACACTTAGTAAAATTGTACCACATTTAAGACTAAAAGAGCTTCTCTGGTCTTCTTGAAAATGTGCCATGTCTCGCTTCCTCTTTTGGGGCACTTTTTTGGAAGCATGTTACTTTGGACCTGCCAGAGTAATCATACTCTCAAACCAAAAAAAGAAAAGAAAAACAAGTAAGAAAAACAAGAAAAACTTTCCTCCACTCTGTTATTCATATATGAACAAATCAGTATGATCACAAATTAACTTGTTACTATTTCGCCTTGTGTGATCGTCCGGGTCAGGGTAGTTCGGAAAAGAACTGTTGTTGGTGGTTGACGTTTCGAACACCTGAGCGGAAGTCATCTTCAGAGTCAAGTGAATAGTGTTAGTCAGTTGATGGTGTTATAGTCTGGTCAGTTGAGCCATGATGGTTTCAAGTGTAAGACTCATGTAAAGTTTATTAGCAGTCATTGGTCGGTTCTAGTAAGTTTCGACTTGAGCTCAGGTTGTCAAAACGTCAGTTACCAACAACAGTTCTTTTCAGAGCTACCCTCACCCGGACGATCACACAAAACGAACTACTGATACTCCTGGGTTCAAACCATTTACCATGTAACTTGTTTCTGTGGACAATTTTCAAGAAGAGCAACTTGAGAGCCTGAAATCGACTGTTTAAGTTAAAAAAAAAAAACGACCTTTTTGATAACCACGTGCCCTTGTATTAACTAAGAAATATGTAACGGGCACTGGTTCGTAGTAACTTTGAGCAAGTGAACTTTCTCTGACTTCTCTTGCAATTAAATATGACAACATGGTACAGTAGTGGTTTTCCCATTTACAAACAAAACTTAGTCATAATTCATACTAACGCTAAAAAAGTAACTAAACAACAGACCTGTCAATCATGCACAATAGACCATTTTACAGTTGTCTGCTCAGTGACCTAGCCTTTGTATGGCAGCGAGGCTAGAGTTGAACTTGTTTTGATACAGACCTCACTGCTTTTGTCATGTAAATGCACCTAGTTAGCATCAGAACAACGTGTTTTACACAACAAAAGCAGTGAGGTCTGTATCAAAACAAGGTCAACTCTAGCCTCGCTGCCATACAAAGGCCAGGTCACTGAGCAGACAACTGTAAAATGGTCTATTGGCAGTTTCATCATGCTCATTTGCTACATATTGATATAACTTAGAATCACGGAACTTGGAAATCGCGCATTCTACTCTCTAGCGATAATGTTCTCCTTATGTATGTACACTAAAACTCTAGCTCAAAACAATTTGCTTTTACGGTAATATTTTGTTGTATTTTAAGTTAAAATAAAATGCACCTCAAGGGTGCCCCTGCGTTTACAATAGCATAAATAAATATATCTTGGAAAATAAGCTCAAACATTTGCCTCTTCCTCTGAAAAACATTACTCTTTAAGTGGTCTCCTGCACAAGCCTTTATCTCGGTAGTCACGCAATTCCCCCACTGAGGAAGATTGTGTGACAATCCAGACAAGGACAACGTAGGAGAATAAGCCACTACCTGCAAACTATTTATCCTCGATTCTAAATGAATTCCGTGTAAAAACTGAACTTTTAAGGTAAATATTTCTTTCCTCACAGAAGAATATCAAATTTAAATTGGACCTTGGCTTTCTGTACACCTTTCGGTTTACCGAAGTTCACCGAAGTTTACCGAAGTTTTACTGGTGTACTCGAGTTAGCTTTCGTGTCAATATTCTCCGTGTTCCTTGTCACAATAGCAAGGAATCGTTAAATACTTGGCTCTCTTGTCTTACTAATAACCGAGAGCTTAAATGATTTCTTCAGTAATGTTGCACTGTATATGAGATTATTCTCAAATGTCCCCCTGACGCCATCGTCTCCTGTGCCACAGGAAGGACAAGTTCTTTATTAAGGGTTCACTCTTCACTGCATTCCACTGGATGACTCTGTCATTAATACTAATGGCTCTCCGCAATCGAGTCGCCTGCCCATTGGCGGAGTCGGGAGCAAATCTCGGTAAATTGGGGTCTATCCGAGGGGTTTTCTTCCCAACACTCCCTCATCAGCCCGAACAACCGGGCAGGGCAACTGTCGGGGCATGTCAGAAGTTGTAGATTACGTATTCGCTCAATGGCTTCCTGATTCGTAAAGCCAACGTACGGCCGGCAACCGAAGGAGTAAATTTCCCACAATAAAATCCCGTATGACCAAACGTCTGACATGTGACTAAACTGCAGGGTGTTAAGCGCTTCCGGTGGCATCCATCGCACCGGAAGTAACGCGCTACTGTGTCCCCAGGAGTAATCTGAAGGGTATTTGTAGCTCCCGATGCCAAGGTTTGATATTTTTATGATATTACCTTCGGTCACGTAGCAGTTTCTGGCGGCAAGGTCGCAGTGGACAAAGTTATTCTCCACAAGGAAGTCCATTCCGGAGGCGACTTGCAACGAGAAGTCCAATAACAGGTCATATTCAGAGATATCTGACGGTATCAAGCCCGATAGCTTGGATGCATTGTCCAATAAGAAACGATACAGGTCCATATCAGTGTAATACTCGAAAACCATGTAGCGCGGCTCCTCTCCTGTGGACACACCAATCAAACACAAGATGTTGATGTCCTGCAAATTAGCCAGAATCGACGTCTCCTTTTTGAAGTTCTCCACAGCAGCTTGAGGCACGTCGCTTTTGAGTCGTTTAATGGCGATTTTCACGTCTTCCTGGTCCGATTCGAGTTTGATCAGCGCACCCTTACAGACTTTGGCGAATCCTCCCTCACCAAGACTTTCAAGAAATTTCACTTTGCCATGACTGACTTCCTGGTCCTGCTAAAAATGATATAAAATGTTTCTACTAAGTTGGCGAATAATAAAAATACTTTGCAGTAGTAAAATGTCTGTTAAAAAATGCGATTTGTATTTCTTTTTAGGACAGTTTTAATAGCATGAGTGAGCACTATCCCACATCACTATTACGTAATACAAATTTACCCTCAAATCTAAAGATACCTCAAAATAGCTTTATACTAATCGTGTAAAATAGATTCCCATTACGGTTTTATTTCACAAGGGAGGTGCAGTAGTCTCTTAAGTTTGAACGTTGGCAGGAGTTTTTTTGTTGTGTTTTTGGTCAACACACTTCACTCTCACAGTGTTTCTCTCTACCCATGAGAAATAATGGGTGCCGGTAACTTGTTGAGACAACTTGAGAAAACGCCGAGGATAGACCCTGCTATGGACTGGAATGTCAACCGGGGGGAAGGAGGCAAGGAGTGGATACAATATTCATAGTTCCTTTATGCTACAGAAACCGGAACAAACCTCTGGCTTGAAAGCCTGCTATGTCTGAAGTCAGACTCGAATCTTTATTTTAGGCAGTGTGCACACTACGCTGGAGGAATTTGAAAATGCGGCGTTACTTTTACGGTTAGGCCTACCGTGTAAACTAATCCGTCACGAAAACGGAGCTTTTCGAGAACGCTCTCCAAACCTGAGGAATTTTGAAAACGCCGGCTTTTCGTTTCCGTGTGGACGAAAAACATTTTGAAAATTTTTAAATGCCTCCGGCGTAGTGTGGACGGAAGTGAAAGCTCCGTTTTTAAATTCCCCCGGCATAGTGTGGATGGGACCTTAGTCTTTGATCGTGATACACTGGTTTTCAATTGAGTGTCGTAAAACCATAACCAGACCAATTACCTACCAATTAGACTGATCAGCCAATCTCAGACCGTAGTAAAACCAAAACCAAAACCAAAACCAAAACCAACGTAATTACCTGATTACTTTGAACACTTAATTGAAAACTGCTCAACCTTAAATTAACCGCCCTATGGCTGACGCTTTGAGATTTAATCCTTTGTCAAACGATCATCAATACACCAACTCCGGCTGTTTGCAACTAGTAACTAAGAGTTAATAAATCGAACAGCAGCTTCACAAGATATGACTTACTACGACCACCAGTTTGAGTAAGACGCGACGGAGCTTTGGTGTTGAAGTTTTGGACTTACGGTGTTGCCACGGGAAACTTTCCTCATTTCCAATGGTAACAGTATCGTCGCCTGCACTTTCGCGCGCTTTGCTGCCAATGAAGTTAAAGGCCGACAAGTTGCCACTGGAAACGGAACCAGTTTCCCGTTACCACAACACAAGTTGAGCGCTAAAACCTGGTCACCAAAATTTCGTCGCTTTTTACTCAACTGAGAATTGTAGTAAACACAGCTGGCGATAGACAAAATAACGCAACTAACCTGATTGAAAACACATGACTTGATCTCACTGATGCTTTGCTTCAGATCAAAGCTCGGCTGCTGCACTGTACTTTGAGTACTCTTGGAGATAGAACCGGAAGAGGTGTTCTGCTTTTGCGGAAGTGCGCTCTTTCTGTGCTGTACTTTCAGGTACACGATGATTGACAGGAATGCCACAATCAAAACTGCCATGATGGCGGAAATGACGTAGATGGTTCGACCGACAGGTCGAACTTGTTCTTGCGTTTGTTTGTAACCTGTATTCACTGCAGGACCTAAACAGAGCGTGACAATTAGTAACGGCTTGCTTGCTTTCAATTGGGTTGTCACGCAACGGTGACACTCGCGCGGGGGATACTCGAGCATATTCATATTGTAAGTATTTAACGAAGAAATAACAGTAAGCCAAACGTTTTAACTGTAGGCACAACTGATTAGCTCAAGAGTTTCTTCGTGATCTCCACGATGTGCAAAGAATACGATTAAGGATTTTGTACTGAAAGGCTCTCGTTCTGGTGTCAAGGGTGACTCCAACTGAAAACCATCTTCTTAGAAGCATAGCTGGTTACATGTAAGGAGGTTGGGTGGGGGACTGTCAGGTTACAGTACAATACACTTATAGGATAGAGGAAACTGGACTGTCTAGGCAACATAAGTTATCACTTACTTATGTCAGAACACTTCTTTACATCACACAATTCCACCTCATTCTCCGGTCCAACATAACACCACGGTCTCGCCCCAAGCCCTTCAGGATTACGGCAGAAGTTATGCGGGAGGTCCTTGTAAGGCCACTCGAGGCAGGGGCGTCCGGATTTCGTCACGTTCATTCGGCCAGTGTATGATGCTCCGGTGCCGTTATAGCAATCTATGACGTCAACAACACCTGTGTCGATTTAAATACATCTACAACGAAAGGACTGACAATACATACAGAAGAGCTACAATCCTGGCCAAAAGACCTGGGGACACTTGACAAAATGCCAACTGGTGACGAATTATTTTGAAGTGGGAAGTCATTATTCAATTTTCCGAGCCCCCCTTCCCCGAAAGCAATAGTGGGTCTACTTTGGATGAATCAACATCAACATTGTTTGGGGGGTGGGGAGGGGAAGAGGGACAGATAGACCATATGCTGGCAAAAGTGAATAGTGTCCCATGACGTTTGACCAGGATTGTAGCATAAGAACGCGATTTTTTTGCGCTACTAGATTTTTGTACTTGAAATCTTCACTAAGTGTCTATCTTTTCGCTACAAAAGAAGGAGACCACTCAAAAGTAAAAGAAATCCTAAATTCTGAGAGCCAAGAGGGTTCGCATTCCAAACATATCTACTCATCTCCACCATTTGATGAAAATTTTGGAACACAGAATTGATTAAAGGGGCTAGGTCACGCTATTTTAGGTAATTTTGTTTAATTTTATTAATCATGAGTTCTAAATGTCAAATTGGCAGAGCAAAAGTCTTTCATTTGCAAAATCACGGCCACGTAACAACTGAGAATGATTTTCCAGCTGTGTAAATGACATTTTGATATAAACTGATATAAATTTGAAAAAGGAGGGCCGGCCGACGTTTTTCAAATTTACCTAAATGGAATCCATTTTAATCCTCTCCAGTTTTGTCCATCCATGTTCCGTCTTGGCTTTCCTGTGTTTTGTTTGAGATCTTCTATAGTTTTGAGCCGTTTTTGTGATATTTCAGTTAATTCTATGACCATTTGATCAGTGCTGAAATTGCCTAAAATTGCCTGACCTAGCCCCTTTAAACCTACTACACTGCGATCCGCGAAAGGGGAAACAGCTAACGACGCAGGGAGACAAGTCACAAAAGTAAACTCCACGGAAATCAGTGCCGTTCATCACCAGTGCCTCGCCACTTCAGAGTTACAGAAAACACTAGAGAGACTGAGTCCCACTGTCAGTTTTAAACCCCGCGTTATTCTGCCGGCATCAGAGCCTGCCGTTCTGAGAGGAATGTTCAGCGGTATAAGATTTACTTACCTTGGACCCCAGGAGCGGATAGAACCGGAAGTGAAGCAGTGGTCGGAGTAGATAATCCTGCAGTTAAAAAGCAAAACGCTTTATAAACCTCTACGAAATGTTCGCGGAAAGATAAATAAAGGTACCAGCACGTTCAAAGCAGTTAATGTTAGGTTGTTACATTTCCCGATAGAAAGGCTGTCGGGCTGTTAAAGGAGCTACGTCAGGGTTTGCGCAGTTCGTCGTTAGTAATCCGTGTTAATCTTCTCCATCCCTGACCATCCTTGTTCCTTTATGGTTTATTATTATCTCTTTGGTGTTCTTTCTATCTTAGTAAACTGTTATTTTCAGGTTTCCTTCAGTTTAAAGGTTATTTTGTACGTGCCAAAAATAACTCAAAATACCGTGACTGAGTTCCTTTAAGAACACTACATCTTCCTTGTAAATTGTTCTTGAGGACTTCCGTCAAGATTTTTTTGAAATAAGACAAAATATTCTGTACAGGGACCATTCGTGACAAATTCGCAGCGATTGGTCGTCAAATAGGTTTGAATCCTGTCCTTGTCCAGCTCCTTAGTGGCGTTTGCGAGTTCATTCCTTGCTCCTACAAAATTGGAGCCAGCAGGGACTGTGGTTGTTTATTAAACGTACTAATATGACCTTCTATCTATGACGTCATGACGACGCTCGGAAGTCCTGGGGATTACATGGGCTTTATGATTGGGCAATAAAAATCGGAGACTCTTCGAGTGTTTCTCCGGAGATTTGCGAGGAAAAACACATAGCGCGGCGGGCACTTGTCTATCAAACAACAGAGGGTCAAACATTTGCGCTGAACTAACCTGGAATCCCAAGCGAAGTACAGTATGAATAATCTTTGCTATTGCGCTTGGGGAGGGCAGAGCAGTTTGGCAGTAAAGCGCTGAACTTTTTGTCCATCTGCGCGAAATTGAGCTCTGCCAAACAAACGTCTTCAAAGAGAGCAAAACAATCCTCTCGGCAGAGCCGAGGCTTGGAGTCCTGGGTACGAGCATCGCAGGTCGGGAAGAGGTGAAAGCACATGGCGGGAATGCCAAATCTGGTACACCTGTCAAACCGGTAAAACTTGACTAGTTAGTGGTCTGTAGTGATGACGCCTACTGGCAAGTACACTTAATGCCTGAAGTAATTAGCAGTGATAATAGATTAAATCAGAGCCTTCGATTCTCTTCACGCGAAACACGTTACCCGTACATTACATCTGCATTATGCGTGTGTTACACGTATATAATACGTTGTTTTCTTCTTCCTACTTAGGCTTAAAAAGACATCGAGTCTTACTCTTTACAAACCCTCTGATCCTCTGATTCATCAGCGTAACAGATTATAAACACCCATAAAAATTTGAGAACTGCTTCAGAGTTTCTAGTGAGTGGATGTGAATCCAAAATCTAGTTTTCACGGTACAACAAGAGTGAGTGCCTTTCATTCGATGAAAAATTCCGGTTTGAATTTCCGGATATGACAAATGGAACGCTATTTTCTGGACTTTTCGGAAAAGAGGACAACCCCGCGAAGTATACTAAAATTTTCGGAAATTTCTCACCGGGAATTTCCGTTCTATTTGGAATCGGGATTTCCGGGATTACCCGTTGAACGGTTAGCTTTTCGGAAATTCAACAATTTCCGGAGGAAATTTTCCTAGGAAATTTCTTTACCATTTGTGCCCATTTTGAAATTTTCGGAATTTTCGGTTGACTAGAAAGCACTCGTTGATTAATTTAACTGTCACGATTTGTAAGTACCTTTCAGACATCTGATTAAGAGTTCGAATCACCGTGAGTGCCGATGACAGTTGTTTTTCAATGGTTTGCTGATGTCGTATTCTATACTGAACCCAGATGCTCTGATTTCCAATGAATTCTGCGCATGCGTCACCGCGGTATGATTCACACATCCCTTGGAGTGGTGGAAGAGTCCTGTAGTAGAAAAAGCATCCATCACAACACTTGAATTACGCTTCAATCACAGGAACACTGGAAAAACCTCTTTTTTTGGTCAGAGCCCCGTTTGCGAGATTGACTATGCCAGCGATTTTTTTCAGGGAGGTTGCTACGCGACATGACGTATTTGATGACGTCAAGCGACGTCAAAGTTAACGGTTCCAATTGCTTGACCAGAATCGTAATGCGTCAATAGACACTAAAAAACACTTTCCGATGACACGGACAAATGAAAAGATACTGTCCTTGGTCGTTTCATGCACGTGTTTCCTACCTCGCAGGGATTTTCGAAGTTGGTTTTAATTGTCGTTGTCTTTGTGGCTGTCGGTGCGTTATTTCTGTTGATATGTTTAGTTGCTGTCATTGTTGTTGCTGAAATTGTTTCATAGTCCTTTAATATTCTTGTTGCTGTTATAGTATTTAACACCCACCTTACAGGTCCTGGTTCCGGGCGGCCAGTCTCTGTAACCAGAAATGATAAGACAGTGTTTAAAACCAATCAGTTAAACGCTGAATTGTTCTACTGCTCACTGCTATCTATTTTTAGCGTGACTTGCCAAGGTTCCGTCAGCATAATACTGTTAATCATACTTTTCAGGTTATTTCTGACGATGTTTCTTCATTACTAACAATTCATTACCTGGTTTCACGTGGATTGGATCAGTATTAACTGTGGAATGAAATTAAAAAGAAATGATTGAGAAGGGAATGATGGCTTTATTAAAAGTGTGAGGTAACAGCACAAATGCAACTCCCGAAAATGGGATTCAGACCGGCAAAAAATTCCCAGTCCAGTAAAATTGTAACGTTTGCGTACAAACGAGGTTTTCCCGAAAACGTTACGGTCAGGGACCTTTTTCTGAAACAAATTTTACTTCCAGCTCGAAGCTTTCATGAGAGAGGTTGCTTGGTAGCAATGAATGCTTAAGACGTATAGCTTGCATAGCTGTCGGGGATTTCGTCCGCGAGTTCCTTGGAAAGTACCGTGTTCAACTTACACTCGCACTTGACAACTTGCAGTTGCGCGCGAAACCCCTCCCCTCCCCCAGTTATGCAAGCTACATGACGTCACGTATTCGTGCGTACGTCACGACTACCTACGGTGACGACAATTCGGGACTGTTCAAGTGCTTCCGCAGAGATTTGTTTCTTAAAAGAGCTACTGCACGGTTTGCGTATCTTGAAGTTTAGTCTAATTTTTTTAAAAGTTCGTCGTTTGCAATCCGTATTAATCTTCTCCATCCTTAACCATCCTTGTTCTATTATGGTTTATTATTATCTCTGTTTTTGTTTTTCTATCTTAGTTAACTACTATTTTCAGGTTTCTTTCAATTCAAAGGCATTTTTGTACCTGGCCAAAATAAATCAAAGTACCATTACTGAGATCCTTTAAAATATCACTTTAAAATTCGTAACTCTACTGTGCAAGAAACACAACAACTAAGGCAGTCGCGACTCCAACTGCTAGTTTGAACTATGGACATCAAGAGAATTTGATAAGAAGTCAATCTATTATGAAGTCAGCACAAAGAAACTGTACTTGTGATGGGAGGTGTGTTGAGAAATCCATTGATTTTCAACCACGCCTGCGCGGTAGCCATTCCTCCGGGACCTTTGGCCCTACACTGAAATATCCCAGCATCCTTCTTTTTAGCCCGTCGAATCCTGAGCCGCGATCCCCAACGGAAAGTAGTGACCTTGTAAGATGGGTAGGCTTCGCTGACAGACCGACCGTCCTTGAACCACGTGATGTTAGCCGCTACCTTTTTACTGCTCAGCCTGCACTTGAAGATGACTGGTTTGTTTTCGAACATTGTGATGTTGTTATCAAGACGGACTTTGAACTTGGGTACTGCGCATGGACAAACACACACACACACACAAAAAAAAACGTTACTGGTTAATGAGACGAAATCGCACCTCCAATACAAGATTACAACTTAACTGAACTTTCTGGACGAAATCTAAGTGTTGCGTTCATTTCAACAAAATGTGTTGAGCAGAAAATCTTCATGTAGTACTCTCAATTACACTGTATAAAGTGGTTTTAAAGTAGGGAGGTGTCTGACTTAAACCCTAGTGCATGTGTGACCATTCAAATGAAAGTTATGGTGCAGTACTTTCATGTGGTACTGTTTATTAAGCTGTACAAGGTGGTTCTAACTTTAAGTCTGTGGATGAAACCCTAGTGTGTAACCATTCAAATGAAAGCTGTGGAGCAGGACTTTCGTGTGGTACTGTTTATTATGCCGTGCAATGAGTTTCTAACTTTAAAGTCTGAGGATGAAACCCTATTGAAAGCTGTTGAGTACCGTTTGTTATCTTAATCTTTTTGGATTATTATTATAATAGCGGTTTTGAGAATGTATGCATGAAGTCCGACACATACCTTGAGGGACCACTCTAATACAACTCTTGTAATCAGGATGCCCCACAGCCGGCATACTGGAACAATCAGGTAACAGAACCGACACAAACGGTAATTTTCGGGCACGCTCGAAATCCTCCTGACAAATATCATTCTTCAAAACAAGACAATCGTCCCTACAGAACTTCCTCGGCTTAGGTTTAGACTGCGACGAATCACACGGCGGAAAAGCGTAGTTACACAAAGTTGGTAGAACATAATCCTTACATCCGTCAGACACGTACTCCTTCAACATATCATAGTTCCTTCCAACGCGGCTCCCGTGCGAAACCTGGGACGCTGTCTTTGAGTTGACATAAACTCGCTGGCCATCGAGGTAAGGCTTGCATAGCTCTCCACCAGAGTACAGTTCGCACGCTGCGAACCTGGAAAATAAAATTTAAAGGATCAGAATTTAGGGTGGTTACCAATCCTCTTTATATTTGGCCTGTTTTATGCCCCTCCCCGTATCCCCGTGTCTTTCGACTTTCCCTCTCCCCGTCCCCCTCTCTCCTTCCCCTCTCTCCGTCCCCGTCCCCCCTCTCCCCGCCCTCCTCAGGATGTTATGTACCATGGTTTCGTTACCACTTTTTTTTTATTCGTGATGTAATTTTGGAATGACAAAGCCGAACGCCAGTATCAACATATAAACTCTCTTCAATTGTCTTCATACTTTTCCTGTATTACAGATTGGGAGAATTTATTTGCCAAACATATGCTTATTTCTCTTGACCTACAAGCTTGATTAAGTGTATTGATAGTGTCAGGAAAATTAGACATTATTATCACTCTTGCAACAAACAGAACTCCTCGGCTTGTTCTACTGGAAAAAGTGCGGGCTCTCTTGTGGAGCAGCGGCCTAGACAAAGCCGAGGACTGCGTCTTGTCAAAAAATAACAATAACTCAGCAAAGAAGATCATTTTTGCGGTGCGACGAGAATTTTCTTTCGATTGACTGCGAAGGTCTGCGTTTTGCCAAACACTGGAGCAGCTTGTAAACACAGCAGAAAGGACTATTGTCGATGAAAAAGTTATGCAAGAGCCAGGGGATCAGAAAGTTGTATAAACTCTGCGAGGATGCACGTGCAAGCAAGATGGCCTCCCCAGCTAACCTGTACTCAAATTCTACGCTTGTGGTCTTTGTACACGTGAACACTACAAGACTGAAAGCTGAGAAGATTTCTTATCGCATCGAACAAGTTTCCGCGTACATTAAACGTTACACTGAGGTCTTTGCGAGATAACGACATTCTACCTCCAACGGAAATGAAGATGATACTTTGTAATCTAAGGACAAAGCAATTCAAAGAAAGTTTGCCGAGAATCTAGCAAACTTCAGTAATAACGGATGTTCAAAGTGACAAGATGACAGATTACCCCTAACTTAAAACAGACTTGTGGAAAATCCGCTTCTAATGTGGGACTACGGTTTCACAATATCTGAGAAGAAAATTAGCTGAAGTTCAGATTGGAGGGGACGATAACGATGGAAAAGATGTTTTAAGAATGTTCCAGAGTTGTAGCCATTAAAAGTTAATCGCTTTATAGTTGTTATTGGGCTTCAAAAACAAACAAACTAGTTGTTTTCAATCCACCGCAGAGTTTTTTAAGTAATTTAAAAACAGTATAAAAATATTTTGGTCGCTGTGAGAAGACAGATATTTTGAAATTTGACAGGCGACTTCGTAGAAATGTGCTCTCCAAATTTTGTTTTCCCATACTACGTAATTTGTGGTTGTTCCTTGAGCAAAAGGCGATGTTAAGTTTTGTGACTCAACACAAATCACAAAATCGATCGTTGCGTGGTCTGTTGATAATTAAATTGTTATTTCCCAATTGGTACATGATTTCCTACCACCAAAATTTCCTAAAAAGCAAGCCCCGTACTCGCGTGAGACGAAGAAGCCTGAACTTCCTGAGGAATTCTGCCCGCCGAAAGAGGAAAGAGGATTATAAAACGGTTGAATAAACTCTAAAATTTTATTTTAAAGCCTTATCTGCGTTTACCAGATAAGGAAAACTTTATCGAATCTACAATTTCTCACATTTCACCGAGTAAATTTGATAAAACATCAGGGGAGTTCCAATTTTCTTTGCATATAAAGAAAGCGTGTAACAGTCGGTAAACCTTTACATTCGAGTTTAATTAGAGATAAAGAATAACCATAGAGAGGAAAGTTACACTAAAATGTTTTGCTTTTTAATTAATAGCACTTGCACTTTCCTTTATGAAGGAGAATACCGCTAGCAAACCTGATAGCTTCTTTTCCATCCACTTCGTCACAATTTTCACTGTTCTTTCTCTGAATGACATTTCAAGGTCATAAATTTTATTCTGTTCAAGAGCTCTGTTTTTTTATTCTTAGTCTGTTGCAGCTATAAAACTAATATCAACTAGCCCACTAACCCAAATGGAAACCAGACAAATTGTAGAGGTGGTTTCTTTTTAAATAAGCGAATACCTCAACGTTGCGCTTAACAAAGAAATTCCCTCCTTGAAAATTCTCACAAAACTTTAAATGTTCATGGCACAGAAGTAAAAGAAAAGTTTTTCCTTTGTTAAAATTCGAAGCAAAGGAAACAGTGACCTCTTGTATAAGAGTAGGTTCACTCCTACAGAATGAGTCAAATTTTGACTGAAGTCTTTCCCATTCTAAATACGTCTGTAGATCAAACCATTCATTTAGCGCTGTTGATTTGTTTATATTTCGCACAACGAAACTGTGGATTTTTATAATCTTAAAGTTGAGCACTTTATACTTTCTTGTTTCATTGTCTTCAACCTCCAAAATATTTCATTCCTTGTTACCTATGTTGAATTTCAAAGAAGAAATTGTCGATCACGTCTTTCCCGTTTTCTAAACCTAGGCCTCGCAACGCTATGCAGCGAAAAAATCACTATCAATGAGACAGTGTATGTTGTAGACAATTCATATCCGAGGAACTTTGGGTGTGTCTGGAAGAGAAGCCACAAATGCTAGTTCTCGAGTTCACTTGAGAGAAACAAGGCTTGCTGTACTTTCCCCGACACTTGTTTTGAAATACAATTTGTGTTTCCTGTAAGGAGAGATCCTGTTACAATACAGCTGCCGCTCACACGGAAACTTGTAGACACATTGACTGTAGGTTTTAATTAAAGCTTGATGTATGTATATCCAACGTCGACATGATTACTCCCCCCCCCCATACGACGAATCACAGTTAACGTAAATTTAATCGAAAATGGTGGAAATCAGAGCTTCCTGCCCAAAGTGATTTACAAAATAGTCTAATTCCTAACACAGTCCGAGAGACGACGTGAAGTTATGTGAAACTAGAGCTGGAAAAGTTTCTTTTTTTTTTCGGCCTTAGGTTTTACAGAAAAAAATAGGATTGTTGTGTTTACTTTGCTATTTCCAGATCAGCAAAGCTGAGGTGCAAAAGTTTAAACTAAACAGTCTGGGAATATGTTTTCTTAATGGAAAGCTGTCGCCGTAATTACTTAATCTCGTCATATTTGTCAGTGAAGTCGCCAAGCAACAACAAATAAGTGTCGTGATTTCTGATTGGATAACAAGTGAAGAAACCATTTCGGTTTTTGTTGTTCCGATTCCGCGCGTAGAGCGGAACGGGATGAAAACTATTTTCGCCCTACTTTCGCAACTGCAAAAGAAAGAATTAACAATAATTGAGCTCGTATTTTTAGCCTTTTAAAAAATTTGGGACCTTATCTGTAGATATCTGCAGGGAAAACACATCTGCGGAAAGATCTGGCCCCCTTTGAAGCCTAGTTCAGCTTTGGCAGTCAAAACAGATTTAAGACCCTAAAATTTCACCAGTGACCAAAATAGAAGCCATTTAACTGTTGTTTTATCGCCTGTTTAGAAATACACACTGCTACGTGACTTTGCTAGTCGCGGTCTAGTGGCGGTTTGTTCTATTGGGGTTTTGCGGCTACAGGCGGGATGTCTTGGGCCAGAATGTACGACATACTTTGTGGTCAGCTTAGTAATAATTTATTAAATCCTTTATATCTAAGAGCCATCGCTGAGAGATAAGAATTCATCCTTGACCCGAGAATTTCTTCCTAAATCCTAAAGTAACGCCAACGCTAACAGTGAACAATTTTTCAAAATTTTCCACTTGCAAAATGTTGAAAAACAATCGGTATGCCATGAACATACTTCACCCACACTAAAAACAAAAACGTAAGAAGGAAGCTAAGACTCAAGTACTATTAGAGTAAATATATATTAAGGTTCATTACCATTATAGCTAGTTATTGCCTTTTAATTAAAAAATCGTAGCAAACGGTACCAGACGAAAGGAAATCTTCGAAATTTTAAAATTGTCCCTTTGGCTCCAAAACTAAGTTAAGCTTGAAAGAAAACAATAAAACATTAACATACTATAGTTTTAACCGCCTCGGAAAAGGAACGTAATTTTTCCGCCCCAAAACTTTGGTTTGGGATTTCAAAACTATATCTGATAGGTTTCAGAAAAAAAGTTTTCGTCAAGGCACAAAGGCATAGACGCCACAAAAATCTAATGTAATTAGAGTCAACTTTAAAAACGAAAAAAAAATAACGTTTTAGTGCATGCAGACTTTACTTTAAGGTAGCGAATGGAGATTTAAGTCGAGCACGTCATGTCGCGACAGTAGAAAAGTAAAAAATACAACAAGGAAAAATAGAACAAGATGTTTTTCATCCAATCTTTAATTTTCGCTGCTGAAATGTTAATTGCTAACAGGATGAATCGAAGCCGCTAAAAGAAAATTATCAGATTTTAACATTAGATAGCAATTACTTCGCTCATTAGCCTTCAACATAGAGTATATTTAAGTGAGTGAATTCCAAGCACCGGATATTTTAAAACGCTTTGTTCAATAATGGGCAAAGTACACTGCTGTTTGAGAAGTTTCCGAGGAAATCTTAATTAAGGAGTAGGAAAAACAAACAAAAACATAAGACAAGGAAGTCTGAATGTGCTTTTAATCCAACTATCTTTTACTGCTTTTAAATGTAATCAAAAATGGCCTATAACTCGTGGAATTCATTTTAATCGCATGCGGAGGAATCAATATGGTATGGAAAAATTCCAACTCATCATGGCGTCCTATCTTTCAAGGTCGAAAAAAATGACATTGAATTTTATCTTAACTGATGAAGCAAGATATCGTATGACTTATCAGAACTAAAAAGTAATAATTTACATTGCACCAAATAAATTGAACAAAAAAACATTCGCTTTCCATTAGGCCGAACGCCGGACTGAATTTCCCGCTCTTTCACAGTCAAAGTTTATAAAATATATCACTTAAATTTTTTTAAACAAACACCGGGTTTTTGAATTTACAGTATGGCTTTAATAAATAATTAATGATCTGATAGAATCTTTGAGAATCAAATTTTGCAGAGCAGGAGCACAAAGCAAAGGAGTCCGATGATATTGTTTTTCCTCCACAATGTTCCAAAGAGTGATTTCTGTAAAAACTGTTTCAATATAGCTTACGGCACTCAATTCAAACACAAACAAACCCTTGTTATCCTCAACAGACCTAAATAACATTATAATTTTATTTACAGCTTCTTTCTCATCAATTTTTCACACAACATTGATTTCCTTTCATTAGCGGTGATTTGTGTGAACAATAGCACACAAAACCTCAATGGTATACTTGTTCTACTTAAGATCAGCGAAACACATTTCGAATCTGCCTTGCAGAAGTTCGAACTATGAACAATTAAATACAAAAAGGTGTTTTTTAAATTATTATATTAGTGTTACATAATTTTTTTAAAACTTATAAAATAACGTGCTAAATATGTGTTTCTGAGGGCTGAGCTGCTTTGCCGAAACGGATGTGTGGGAAACCAGTTTCGTTGTTAAACCCGTTTCCGAACTGTTCCCTCTTGCACGCATACTCACACCCAGCAAGTAATTCCTTTGTTAACATGAAAGCGACTCCTGTGCAGGACACTTAAGAGATTTTCCCTTTGATGGCCCTAGAAAAATGACTGATAAAGAACAGCTTAGTTCCACTACGTGCAAACGTTGGGATAATTTCAAAGAATTTCATGACCAATTTGACAGCAAATTGATGTGATCTTCTGCCCTTCCGCTGCACGTTTAACTAGGAAAGTGTATTCCGATCAGTCTTTACAAAGGCTAAATGAAACTGCTTGAAGATTTCATAAATTTCGCGTTTCTCTCAGTATGAGATAAAGGCTTCAAAGGACGGAGACAAAACCGTACAACTAACTATTGTGTTGGATATTAAAACCATATTTGACTCAATTGCATGAGTTTAAAATGAACATAAGGCACTGTCGAAGATAAAAGACGCGGTATTTCGCTTCCACAATGAAGACTGATGGTGGTCTTCTAAATATAGCCGTATCGAGAAAAACAGATAAACAACAAACACTGTCGCTTGACATCTCTCGTCAACTGCAAGCCCTTTTTCACAATCCGAGACAACAACCACAGAAAATATTGACCTCATTTGCATTAGGTTTGAATGAAAATGAACTCAGCCGAGTTTGAGAAAACAACTTTAAATGAAACAATAGGCATGAAAAATGCCTAGTAAAGCGGCGATTTCACAAACAAAGAACTTCTGTGTCAAGTAGGCTGACAAATGGAGCGAGCTTGAAGATAGCAATCCGTGACTGATACAAGCCGTGGCGGCAATGTTCCAGAAAGAAACATCGCGGAGATCGCTGCACTGAAGTTGAAACTAACAACCAAATCTAAACATGTCGATTTCAAATGAACCCCCGGTTCGGTTTGACCGCCAGAAATTAATCACTGCCCCTCCATGAGATTCAGTAATCTCCGCGGCCATGCGTCCAGGTTTTGAATTACCACCATTAAATTCCCTCAACTGTAAGCAAGCCAAAAATTGTGTTTCCAGTAAGACACGTTTTGCGAGAGAACATACTTCTTTAAAGAGGTCTATTAAACGACAAGCTTTTACTTACTTGGAGTTTCGTCCACGCGTTCTCGATCGAGATCCTTTTCTTGAATTTTTGCTCTGAGCTGCGGCTGTCGGAAGAGATTGAGTATAATCAGCACAAACACCGACAGATTCAGTTTCTAATGGCAGACATACGAGTAACACATGCGTGCAAAAAGCGAACGAGGGTTTGCGCCCGAACTATTGCTTTAAATCATGAATGAAGGTTTCATAAACAATCTACTATCACATAAATACAGTTGTCTTGACATGGATTTGATTTAATCCCACAAAATTGAAGTAATTCAGAAGTACAGTGCGAAAACATGCTCAAAAGGGAACAGGCAAATAGCTCGTGTTTACTGTGGGTTTAAGTTGATCGAAAATGCGACGGCGAGAGGCTGAAATGCGCTAAGAAATGTCCCAGACGTTAGCTCGAGGCGTTTTTAGTGATTCCGCTCCTTGTTCATGTTTTGTCACTTAAAACCATCTTTCATGTTGTGGGTAAACACAATGAACAGACACACGATCAACCCGAAAGGCCAAAACGCTGTCGAACAGATCGGAGATATTCACCTACCTGAGACACAAGACAAATCCACCACCAGAAATATACACAGCAACGACGCCACCAACTTCATTGATTCTCCTGGTCTAGCCTGGGAGAAAGCAGATGAACTGTTATTTCACCAAAGATGCGCAATCGAAGCCCATTTCTGACAGAGTACATTCACTTTGTGATTGTTAGCAGTAAAGGACATTTCGCGGTATGCGTGACGTCACGATATGCCCCCAGCGCTTTCCGAACAGCTCTCTGGTTACTACTTGAAATTAATTGCATCAAATTGTTTGATTGTATTGGTCAACAAATAATTAAACTAGATCGTATTTCATGGATTATAAAGATGGAATTTCGGCTATGTCTTCATAAGGCTTCTACTCCATGCTTGAGCACTGAAACTTCGCTCAGAAACTTACAAATCCCTGGTTTGACGAAATAAGTTTGCGAGGAAACAAATAAATGTCAAGTTGAAGTTTTGTTATAGTCGGGGTTGAGAGAGACAAGTGCGTTATACAAACATTCATGTAATTGAAGGCCGCTACCTAGGCGACAATCTTAATACGGTGGAATAATTGAGATAAGAGCGAGCGACAGCAAAACAACGTTCTGTAAAATCATAAAACTCACTTGAAAAGTACTTCTACGAGATGAATCCCACTAGAGATGGCTTCTCCATACAGTTGCGTGTCTTTAGGCCAGCAGCGTTTGATTAAAAGCCAGCAATAAATTGATATCTTTTGAGAGATTAACACATCAATATGTGACACCCCATCACTTGTCCATCAGCGCCCCCGTGCTTAAGTAGTTTGCATTGTTTTCTTCAACGGATGTACGAAACATCACGTAGAGACCGACTACGACAAGCGGGATTTCACCTTAATAATCATTAATCATGTTAGAAATGAGGTGGACTTTCACAGAATCGACATTTCGACTAGGAATTTTCAACGAAGAAATCGCGTTTCGCTCTATGGTCTTGCTTGTATCACAAGACTTTTCCCCGCGCGGTTACACCCACCAAACGTCGTGAAAAATAACAGTCCTGCCTATGGCCGTATGGATCAATTTAGGAGACATTAAAATGTCCCAAATGCCAAAGTATGGGTCAAACCCGGAGGGATGTCTGTCAGGAATTTACGCGACTGTAATTTCATCCAAGTCTCTGTATTACCGCACATTGGCCTGGACTTTCTTGAATTGGAATTCTCAGTTGCTAAAAGAAAACATTTACTCTTCCTTCCCGCTCACTTGGCCAGCTGTTCGCTCATATGTAAGACTTGTTTAGGTTCTTAATTCAAGAGCTTTTTTTGAACGGATGTGGAAAACTTGGACGACAGATGTTATTATGTGAATACTGGAGACCACTGGAAGGAAATATGTGGTGGTACTCAAATTTTTTGTATTTTAGCCCGAGGATGTTTCTCGCTGTGGAGCGCCGTATCTTAATGAGCAAGTTTATAAACAAACAATCAAGTATTTAACCAGATGCCAGTATTTGTACACATGACATTAAAGTGCCACTGAAACGAAATTTTCGTATGTGAGATTTTTGCTTAGTAATAAAGTTTCAACCTTACTTGGAAACACTGCACACTTTTTTTTCGCATACGGTAAGCGAAAACTGCTTTTTCAGCCGTTCGAAGTTGACTGGTTAAGCCCAAAATTGGCGGCCATCTTGGCGCGGCCAAAACAGCCTAGTGACATCACTGGTTGTATTGCTCTCATGCCGCGCTGAAAATTTAGAGTGATTATGGGAGAAGGGAATACTGTTCAAAGCCCCCCCAAAAATCATCTTAAGGACATCTCAGGGCTGTAAAGCAGATAATAACAGTAGCCTTAGACATGAAGAGGTGGAGAGTCGATTCTGAAGCTTTTCAGTCTATTTAATTGGATATTGTATGTAAGCAAGCAAACGAGTGGGAGTTCTTACTCTTAGATCGCAAAATGATCGGGACTCTT